CTAATTTCTGGTTTAGATTTCGAGATAGGACGGTTGAAGGCGGGAGAATTTGTATTGTAACATGATCAATTCATGGACTAGCCTTCATAATGCACCCTGATATATTATGATATGTCGTCGTGTTGTTGTTGGCTTGTGCACTATTTTTTTTTTTTTTGTTATTATATGGTGATTGTTAAGTACTTTTTTGATTGATTTGAACGATTAGAAAAGTAACATCCCCGAGGACTTTGAAGCTCCTGGGAACGGATAAGCTAAATAATGAAATCTTGTTGTCACAACGGTTAGCGAAGCTAGATAGAATACTTCTGAAGTCACCTTCAAGAGGAGTGAGCCATCCGCGGATACGAGAACGGCAAAGGCAATGGTTTTGTATTCTAGCTCCTACTCGTAAGAAAGCAGAAAGGAAACATATATGTTGATTCTTATGGAATTTTTTAATTGCAATGTAGTATGACATTTGGAAATAGATGAAGATGAAGCGAATAAACAAAAATAAATAAATAAACATCTCATGAATATTTAATAATAAAATGAAAATTCAACATTCATTACATCGTCACTGCGCTCCGTCGAAATCCATCTTAATTTGATCCAATTTCTCTGCATAAAGCGCCAACAAATCAGGATCAAAACTCGCAAAATCCCGCTGCATGTCTAATGTAACGCCAAAAACACGATTCATCCACTACACAAAATAGACAAATTAAAATATATGATCACATAGATATTAAAAAGAAAATGTATTGAAAAATATAAACTAAAATTCAGTAAACGACCTACATAATCGGAATTGGCGCGTAGGGATCGGTTGCTTGTCCAGCAGAGTCTCACCCAAAAGAATAGGATGGGAAACCTGAACATACCACTCCGAGTAGTGTCGATCGGCCTCCCCTAAATCACGTATGGTGGGGGTCATTAGAGTGGTTTGGGCGCACGCCACCGTCGGGAATTGCTGCCACAAACCTTCTGCAGTAGTATCAGCATGCTCAACTTTGTAAAGCCTAGACTCCCAAGCACGTACTGCATTGGTTGACAGGTATATAGGGGGAGGGACCGTCTGGACATACCCCAACAGACGCAGAAANATGCAAAAACCGCACAGGCAAGTACGGCTCCACAATATCGCGGTACCTAAGGTATCCGCAATAAAGGGTCCTACGCTCTATCGAATCTGGGTTGCGGTCGTATGGCAACCAGTGCACCTGTTCACAATTGCATAAAAATATTTATTAAAACAATTTTATTATTTAGAATAATAAAGTTTAAATAAATTTAAATAAAGTAATTTAACGTACATCGGAGATGGTGAGAGTGTCAAGGTGCCAACGGAGAGATTTCAAACGATGATCCTCTCCGCCACCCCTATGCTCCACGAGCGAGATCGTGCGACACAGTCAGGACCGATGGGCAGTCGCTCTCGCTGGAGTCGGAAGTACTCATATATCCATGACTGCAGAAGAGTCATGCAGCCAGACAGTCCATGTGCGTCCCCTCTGCTGGCAATACCTAACTGTCTGTACATGTAAGCCAGTGCAGCCGATCCCCAAGAGTAAGTCCCAATAATATCAAAGTCGTGCATCACCTCGTGCAGGAGTTTGGAACTCACCCTGCTACCACTCTTGTCAACGAACAAGGTGGTAGATGGCATCACCCACATTCAGGCAGTAGCCTCATTCACAGGAAACTGGCCTTTCCCCTGAAATGCTTCTAAAATGACAGCAACTGTCACCGAACCACGCTTCCAGAACGAGCTCATTAGGTCAGTCTTCGTGACTGACAACATCTCCATGCAGTACGCCTGACAAGCGTCTGGTTTGGGGTCTACAACGGCCATGGCTCCCTCCACAGGAACACCCAAAATGGCCCGAACGTCGTGCAGCATGATACTCATTTCACCAAAAGGTAGGTGAAACGAGTTGGTATCCGACTGCCAGCGCTCCACAAATGCAGAAATAAGTGCAGTGTCCACGTGGCCGTGCATGGACTCCACCAGATGTGACATCCCGGTCTTACGAATAAGATAGCGTGGAGCGCGATCCATACGTGAGAGTCAAATCCTCAACTTGTCATGCGCTCCCATTCTGTTTTGACACTTCAGAATGCCTCTAAGCTCTCCATTCCAAATGCGGGAGGCTACGTGCCTTGGAAAGCTAGGGATGACACTCCCATCAATGGGGCCGCCGGGAACTGGGGCTCTAACGATCTGGGCATCCTCGCTCCTAGATCGTTTGCTAGTACCTGCATTAGCTTAGAACATACATATACGTCATATTGTGACTGATTGTATCGATGATATGCTATTACTAAATTAAAATATTTAATGCTAAACAACGATAAGTACGTAAATTATTTACCTGAGGATCCAGTGCTCGCAAAATGACCCCCAGCCTGTCGTGGAGGAACACGGCGTGCAGAAGCCTGTGGGGGAGAAGAGTCATAGTCATCGTCCTCAGCCTCATCTAAATATGTCGACTCATAAACCTGCTGATCAGTCGGTACCAAATTGCCAGCCACCAATAAGTGGTGATGCCGAACCGGAGCGGGGACTCTCGAACTGCCAACCTGGTCAGTGCGACCAGCCTGTCTTATGCGAGTCTGCTGTATTAGCTCCTCATCTCTAGCACGACAAGCGGAAGCATTTATACACCGACTACTCGTGTGTCGGGGCCCAAAACCTAACATCTCGGCAACCTCTTCATCGATGGCTCGTCGCGCCGGTCTACCAATAGTCTAAAATCAATAATTTAAACTAATAATTAATAAACAATTTTTTAAATTTCATAAATTTTATTAAATATTATAAGTTCGTTTCAATTAACAATTTAATTTATTAGTAATATATAATTAATCATAAATAATATTATTAATTATTACTATTTTCAAAAATACATTATAAAATATTACAAGTAATTATTTTCTTAAAAAGGATTAAAAATCAATTTTTGTGAAACTAATTAATTTTCAACTAATTAATTATACATCATAATTATACAACCAATTAATTAAAAAATTATACAATATTTTCAACTTATATTTTCTTTTAATTATGTGAAACTAATAATCACTCAGCAAACCATTTTATTACGTATATTACAACTATTTTTTATTATTATTATAAATTAAAATTTATCTATTAAACTATATTATTAATAACTACTAAACACATAATTATGTAAATTAACTAAATCAAAAAATTAGTGCAATTCTACTTTTTCTCTCTCCTCGTCGCACAAAAGAGTCCCAAATCAAAAACCCTTCTCTGGCAGATTCGTGTGCCTTTCTCTAGCAGGGCCTCCGGGCCATCTCGACGGCGACAACCACCGGGGCCATGCGGTCGATTTTCGAAGGTCCGCCGGACTGGCGGTTTTCTTTTCCCGGGGGGTGGCGTTTTCGCCCAATTTGGTCTTCGACTCCTTCTAGGTCGCCAAGGAGGGTCAGGGTCAGTGGCTCCCCGGCGTTTGGAAGGCGGCGAGGTTCCAGCGAGCCGACGTCTTTTGGGTTGTGGCTTTGATCATCGATTTGGCGGAGGTCGGTCTGAGATCGGGTTATTCCGCTTCCCTCCTTTCTCCCGATTTCTTCTGTTTTTGGGGCCGTCTCGGTTCCAATGGCAGAGTCGTGCCGTGGTCGGTCTTGTGGACTAGGCCCTGGTCGTGTGGGCTGGGATGGTGGAGCTTGTTTTGCTTCTCCAGTAGTCTCGGATCTAGTTAGGCGTTTATGCTGCAGTTTCTAGCTTCGTGACTTCGATCGGGTCTATGTGTAGGTGGTTATCCGTGGGTGTCGGCGTCGTCTTTGTTCGATTTGGTTTCGCTTATATGGGAAGGGCTTTAGTTTAGTAGTTTTATTTTTAATCTGTGTGGTTTGTGTTTATGTGGTGTTTATTTGTGTGTTGCTTTGTGTATTGTGTTGTTATCTCCTTTTTTGGAGGAGCTTGTTTTCTCTTCTGGGAGTTTGTGTTCTTGTGGGGAGTTTGTGTATTCTACTATTGAGAGTTTTTATTTTTCTTATTCGTTTTGTGGTGTATGTTGTAGTATCTAAGCTGCCTTGAGTAGTCCTTCTATTTCGGCTACTGAACCGGTTATAATTACATGTTTAGTGAATGAATTCTACCGTTTGAAAAAAACAATAAAAAAAAACAAATTTAAATCCAAAAATTAAGTCAATTCTATTTTTTACAAATTTTTTAAAAAAAATAATAATAAAAAAAAATGTTTGACATCTGACCGGTAGCCGGACGGCTGACCGAACCGACAAAACGCGTGGGGTGCGCGTGTCCGACGGCGACTGCCGCACGGGGTACGCGCATCCGGAGGCAACTGTCGGACGCAATAGGCGCGACCGAACCCTAGATACCGGTCGCGCCGTGTGCCGTCCAATATCGCCGACCGGACACGGCCGCCCCTGTCCGAGATCGTCGGCCGGACAGAACGAAAAAAATTTCAAAATTTTTTTTAAAATCAATTATAAAAAAAAAAAAAAAACATACCTAGAGAATCATGAATCCCTTGTCTAAGCCTTTACGAGGTTGTGACATTTTTCAGAATTTTTTTAGACATAAAACAAGGCGTGAAAGAGTCGGAGAGTTCAAAACGGAACGAGTAGAGAGAGAAAAAGAGAGAGAAATCTAAAAGACGAAACGTAAATGGAGAGGGCGATATGTAGTAATAAAGGGACGGTGAATAACAATTCAGTAAAATAAATGTGCTGAGGAGGGTAATTTCTTATTTATAGCCAATCGCGCTTTAAGGCCCCCATCTTTATCTATGCCTTTCAAAGCTCTAATAATAATAATAATAATATCGATCACAAAATATGCAGTTAAACGAAAAAATAATGCTCGTGATACATATAAGCACACACACATACAAAAGATACAACACCACACGAATAAATTATACAACTCAAAGAAAAAAATAAAAATAAAAAATAAAAAATATCAAAAAGGGGTATAAACCAGAAGTTCAACCAGCAGCAGCAGTGGTACACAAGGTACAACGTACCCTACCGTCATCACCATCTTCCACGTCATCATCATCATCATCATCATCATCACCGTCATCATATTCATAGTACGACAGGTCACCATTGGTGGGGCCCACCACCTCAGGCTTCTTTTTGCTACTAATTGAATCGATAGAGTCCATGAGGCACGTCTCGTGGTACGCATGGCAACAGAAGAAAACGTATATAGACACGTCTTGGATTGAAAAAGGGTCGAAACATATGCAGCACCGAGTCCCACCCTTTATTCTCGACTTCACGTCAGTTCCTTTTATGCTAAGGGATCTCTCGGTCGACTGAGATTGCCCTTTTTTATTGTCCCGAGACTTGTCTTCCTCGTTGCTCAAGTATATGGCACGCCTGGCCTCCTTGTAGTACTTGATCAGTAAATTTACGCAATCAGCCTGCGGGTTTTTATTGAGATGGTTATGAAATGTGAATTGCGGCCGGTTAAGAATAGCTACAAAATCTTCCTTTCAGGATTTAATCAAAAAGTCCCAACTATGGAGAAGACCAGGAAAACCGAAAAGTACGACCCAAAAAATAAATACCTGAAGAGTTTATTTCGTTTAAATTCCATTTTAAATAGGCAAAATTGCATATTAATACACCAATTTTCATGTTTTTGCAATTTAATCACCACTTTTACAATTTTGCAAATTAATACAATAATTTCACCATTTTTGCAAATCGATACATAATTGACGGTTCCGTTAAAAAATTCTAACGAAAATCTAACATGCCATTGATGTGGCTCAATGCCATGTCAGATTTTTGTCAACGAACCGTCATTCATGTATCTATTTGCAAAAATGGTAAAGGTGGTGTATTAATCTACAAAATTTCAAATGTGTGCATTAATATGCAATTTTGCCTAAAATACAATATATTAGCGTTTACCGTCAATTTTAACATTGAATCCAAAACACGGAGAACAAGGGTACTTTTTGTAATTATTCCAGCTAGTTATTATATTACCTTGAGTATGTCATTGCACCCGTGTCTGAGAGAAGTTTCCGTCCGATAATCTGTGATGATTTTGACAAGGCGGTCTCGAAGCCTGGGACAATATGCATTTAACTTGAGCATATTTAGCAGAATAGAAATAGTATCATTGTAATGTAATGAGACATCAAATCATGAGCAGGACATGGATTTCTGTGGAAGTCGATATACAAGGCTTTTAAAGCAAAGACCCATTGATAAGTTTACGACTTCAAGTAATACAGTAATAGGAATATAATTTTTACCACAACGAAAATGGGAGTACCAATTCGACTCTATTTGATCATATGCAAAAAGAAATTTCATTGTATTAACTATTAAGGTTCTTTCAAGGATAATTGCCAGAATTGGCATTAGATTTCATGTCACCTGAGGTTTGATTCTAAGGGCCTAAATTCAATATTATGTGCAATTGTGAAGCACAACCAGCAGTTGTAAAATACATAATGTAAGGAGCTCGCACGAATTTGGTCAACAGACCTAGTTTTGCAGAAGTAAGACCGGAAAAGTTTTTTTCCTGGGAACGCCAAAACTTAAACTCGACTGCTATGCTTATTGACCACTAACAAGAAAATATAGAAGGAACAGAAAAGAAAAATAAAAATCGACTTACCGTGGTATCTCTAATCCATTTGGGACCATATTTACAATATACAAGGGATCGAGATTGCCGACAGTATGCTCCAACAAAACCCCTACCTGTAAATTTGAAATTAATCAAATAAAAGAAGAAAAGGGTTACTGCATGTATAGTGAAATTTCATAAAGTTCTATCAGTATAACAGATTTTACAACTTACCATCTCTGGTTTGTTTAGACACTGTTTAATAAGCTCTTCCCAAAGTTCATCATCATGCTGCATACTTACAAATTCTATGGCCTGCAAACGATTCAAAAAAACAATTCAATCTCAAATACAGTTTCAAATGTATACATATATATAAGATGAATTTGTGGATCGAGATGAGAACCTCTTCTATATCCCCCAATTTATTGATAATTACTGCCAAAGCTTGCCTGGAGTTTCCCATTCTTCCAAGAATAAAGACTAGCTCTCTTAATAAATCTCTTTTGACACAAATTTCATGCGCCTGAGACAAATTTGATGATAAAAAAATGAGAAGATCACAGAACAATTGCATGGAATTCACAGAAGTTCGGTATTTAACCTTTTCCAGTGTGTAATGCTGACTACTCCGAAGAAAGGGAAGCAGCATTTTCGGATCATAGTCAGCATACAGCTCCACCTGTTAACGAAATTTACGCATTAGCGATATTATTGGNAAACCAATCCCATTCATACAGTCGTATTAAGTGTCATCAGGTAAACTTAAAATAAGCAGTTTAGAATATAATAAACGCACATAAATAAAAATTGAACAGTACATAGAAACTCATTGTTGGTACATATACACCAAGAATTACGAACCGACATATACCTATTTTATCAGGCAGGAAAAGCCAGATTCACATACAGGTCTTTAAAAATGACTAAATTCAAACAGAACACACATTGAGAAGTCCGGTTATCTTCGTGTGACAAATCAATTATACTAGTCAGCAGTCTCAATTTCGACAAGGAAATCAAAAAATTAATTTCTCCAGTCAAATTGCTACTCGAGTAAGACCAATTCTTATCTTTTTCAGCTATTAAAAATATTTAATAAACCCCGCGCAAAGCTGGAATAATTTTTCCCCATAATTTCTTTCTTTTCAGCTCCTCTACAATTAGCTCAAATATTTTCTGGGGGAGTTCAACAGGGAACCCCAAATGTTAGTAATTCAGGCAATGTATATAAGGAAAGAAATGAACCAGACCTTCAAGCTTATATTATCTTAAATATATATACACATAATGACGTATACATTCTCCAATGAAGAATATAAGCATTAATTTTAATTGTTTACAAACCTGCATGTCATGGTAATCCCTTCCAGCATGCGGATTTGACTCAAATAGTGCATGCAGATAGAGATGCAAAAAATATCGGTAATCACACTTCTTCTTTGCAGCTATGAGTTGCGAAACTACATCAGATGGGCTTATGAGGTCTCTGTGCTGGATAAACAATGGAATGGCATGTTTGTTGTCTATCAACATAAGCTGAGCTACCTGCAAAGACATGTGAAATCAATCAAACAAATTAAACAAATTTAAACCCTCTTAATAATTTTTTGTAAAGTTATTAATGCAAGGAAACTATAGAAATCAGATAATCTGAGTCTGGCAAAATTCAAAAACCGAATGAGGAAGAACTTTTAGGAAATGGGACCTTGGTTATAAGTATCAAATATAAGATATTGGTTAACAGTAACTGAACGTGAAAAAGTAAAAAGCTGCTTTAAATCAATGCGCTAACTCAAAGTACCTTTTCTCGAATGGCATCATGCAAATTATGTTTGTCAATGAAGTCAAATATATCCGACTTCTTAAGCTGAAATACACAGAAATAAAAATTATCACATAAGGAAAAAAGTAAATTAAAATAGAAATAATGAACATGACCTTAGTCCCAAATTCAGCACATTGAAACAAAACATGCAAGAAGATTACATCCACAGCAATGAGCACTTACATCAGCATACAGGCTGAAAGCTTTCTCATATTGTCCATCAATTACATATAGCTCAGCAAGAGCCTGACGTAAAAAGATTACCGGTAAGACAGAAACAAAAAGTAAGCAGGAATTAAACATTAAGATTACCAGGAACTAACCTCTTTGAGAGCATCACTAGATGACAAAGTATTAAGCTGGGGTTCTATAGCTGAGATAACGGGCAAAGTAGAATATAGAGCAGGTGGCCAGGTTTTAACAATTTTCACCAAATCCTCATGAAATGATGTATTTGTCGCCAAAGCAACAAGAGCAACCTAGTGCATGACAGATATTTAAGGCATTCTGGCATGATCATAATATAGTAGCAAGAACTATGAGGCGGTGGATATCTATCACTTAAGATACAAACCTCGTAAGCAGTATCACGTAACCTCGGATTTTCTGTAGGTATGTAAGGAACCAGCACAGGAAGTTGACGAAGATGAGCAAAATGGAAAACCCATCTGAAAGTTGTAATAAACCACAGGTTGATAAAATAATCCGAAAGTAGTCATACACTTAAAACCATAATTACACAATGTGCATAAGTATTATGGTACCTTTCCCATGCAGAAGCTGAGCCTTGCAGTAATTTGGGACATAAAGATGCTGCCTCAGCATATTTGCGTTCCACAATTAGATGGTCAAGATATCTGGACCCCACCTGTTTTAACCAAAAAAAAAAAAAGCCAAAACTTTATATATAAGTTTACAGAGCTAAACCACCAACATGAAAGATATTTTGTTATAGTTAACATTTCAAGCAAAACCCAAGTTAAACAGAGTACCTCATCAAGAAGCTCACTTCGTCCTTGACCGGCTTCAACTGCTGCCAAGGCTTTCTCATGCCGTCCATGTTGAAGAAGCCAAGATATGTGATCTTCTGTATCCCTACATTCAATGTTTTAAAATACCTCATACAAGTCAGAACACTGTATGTACTTACAAGAATATAAGGTATGACTTGTATGAGAATGAAACAGCAAATCGTTCACGAATAAGCAACATGCTGCCATGCACTCTTCATAGTACGCCTACAAGTAGTTCTCTAAAGGCTGATAGAAATTAATTGGTTCAAGAAATAAGACACTAAGCCAACCAGCCGAACAATGTGATTGTGATTGCATTTCAAATCATATCCTACACTCCAACAAAATAATTATTTATCATGATTAAAACCCAGTACATTGCTACAACAATGAGATGAAGAAACCAGGAAGAGCAAGAAAGGGTTCTCTTTAATCCTGACATGCACACTCACATAACAAAAAAAAGAAATATAAACTCATTAACCTGGGCTTAGCAATAACGACATCCTTTGGTGACACAATATAGTACAGTGGTTCATCACCAGCAGCCCACTGACCACCTGCATAGCTGCTACCTATAGTCAAGAGCACAAAGTTTTCAGTACTATGATTACCATTGAACAAGTAAGGGTGGAGAAACAGCCACAATAATTTCTACTAAAATTAAAATTACATAAAAACAAAGCTTTACCTGAGAAAGGAGCATGAGCAAGGGAATAATCCTTGGCCTTATAATGCTCAAAGCCATGTATAGGCAGTGCATCAGTCGCCAGTTCATCATTATTCCAAGTGACAACTCTGACTTCAGGTCTCTGAGCATTTCCCTGTTTTGCACATCAAACAAGCAGCAGTTAGCCTCATAAGGCACTGTGTGATCAATCATTCCCAAAAAGACCGTCTACTTAAGCTATTTGTGCCTCATGCCCATGAAAAAAATTGAATAGCATAAATTTGGAAGGATTAAAATTCAAAAATCTTGTTACAGAAACACCCAAAAGAATAACTCATCAGACTATTTGGATTATTTTAAAACAATCTCTTAAACTGACAGAACGACATTTCTACATGGTGCACGGAGCACCAAAGTTTACTCTCATATAAAAGAAGAGTGACTAACAACCAGATGATAGTAAATGGTGGGCTAAAGTCTATGAGAACTCACATAAATAAATAAATAAAATATCATGAAGAAAGCTAAGAAACAGAAGGATTTTGCAGCTGGAACAGATGTATTCTACAAGGTTGAATAGATAAAATTCGAAAACTTCAAAAAACAAGCCAAATGCTTTTCTCTAACTATCAGTAATCACTATATTACCAGTTTAATGGAGATATTGTTCAATTAGAGAACAAGTAAGGGAAGAACATGGACAACTAAGAAAGAATAGAAAATCTCCAGCCATCATACCTCTAACTATCAGTAATCACTATAAATTTCTTCCACAAGATGCTGTCAACTAAACCCACCTGAGTGAACCACTACACACTTAGGATTTAAATGATCCAAAGCATACAGATCAAGAAGATTATTGCATATAGGATTTAGATGATCTAAAGCATACAGATCAAGAAGATTATTGCATAGTATTGCAAATTAAAAGTTCTCTTTGGACATGCACATACAAGAACCAGCAGAAAGACACAAAAATGTTTTATTTTTTGCAAGTATATGGAAAGACATAACCTAGGAAGGAAAAAGCAGCCAGCCAGATACAAAAATTGAACAAAACACATAAGAATGTCTGGAAAACTACCTGGCGTGAAGGAATAGTGCTACTAAAGTCCTTTTCTCCATCTTCTTCCACCGGAATGTATGCTAAAACAACCAAAGAATCACCAAAAGGAGCAATTCCTGAAATGAAATAGCTCGATTGAAATGATGCCACAATATCCACCTTGTTCATGCTAGACATCTGAATCTGCTTATAAGTCCCATTCACGGTTTTATTCTGATTGCCTCTTATTGATACTATTTTAACAGATGTTCCCCATCCAATAACCAGCATAGTATCATCCTGAACAAAGTGCAGAAAATGTTAAGGAAAAAGTACCATATTCAGCTGTGCTGTTTCTTTGTTTTGCATGGTCTGAGGTTATTTGGTTCTTTCAAACAAGTCAATTTATTACAGGCATCACTGCCATTTCCATACCTACCAACCCACCTTCAGTGAGGTGGTACCTGGCTTCTCAACTAGAGTGGTTGGATTCAGATCCTATCCCACCCCTCTTACCAATTTATTAAAAAAAAAAAAAAAAAAAAAAAAAAAAAAAAGGCCATTTCCATTCTTATCATGCACTAACCTGCCAAACCAAATGAGGAAGCAGAAGCTCAGGTCGTGGGCTTCCACGAGGCCTTTCTATAAATGTTACACGTTGATCATTAGCAGCATCATAAACTTTCACACCAGCATCATTAGCCCAGGCAATAAGGCTGGTTCTCCACTTCACTGAATGAATTGGTCCTTCACCAGAGTGCAAAACCTGGGACAAGGAAATTACCTTCACTGAGTTGTCCATCGCGAAAATAACTTTCCGAAGTTCTTTATGACAGCATACAAATACAATTGTCAGAAACCTAGATAAACCTGGTCTCTGTAGCCAATCCACTTCTTCACGTTATAATACAAATGACCAGCTAAACCTCCAGTAACAAATCTTCTGGACGATTTCCTCACATAATCTGGATCTAAAGCAATGGCCTTCATAGGACGATGATACTCAAATTTCATTCTTTCGTCAGTAAAAAGACTACAAATTACAACAGAACCATCATCAGAGCAGCTTCCAATGTATTCACCTTCGATATCAAAGCAAAGATCATTAACTGCAGCAGTGTGCGCAATGAATTCCTTTACCTGGAGCAGGGGAAATATGTTGAATCAACTGAAAATGTTAATCGTATTACTTCATCTAATAAATAAGTAATCACTGAAAAGAGCCTCAAATGCATCGTGTTAAATTTACCTCAGTCAGTCAATGATGTGTAATGCTATCTAGATTTACCATATTACATACAATACACATATTTTATCACACTTTCCCAGACCACTAATCGGAGGTACTCGATAAAATAGACTAAAGAATAAATAAGAACACAGATGCCAGAAGCCGGCATCCTAGCATATATCTCTACTATCTCCATGCATTTCAAGAATAAGAACACATGTGCTTAGAGCTTGTATCATAGCATGATACAGAGAGAATGCAGGTCTACATGAGTCAGAAGATCTTTCAAAAAACTCCTCTATATGTCCTAAATAACAAATAATTGATGATGCAGCGGTTCGGAGGCCAATGACACGTATAACCAACAGGAGTGTGGGTCAGAGCGTGATCCAGAAAGAATGCTTCAGGAATGTAGGAAGGTAAAATTGTCAAAAGGTCATCTCTCTTGGATTGATTCTTATACATCTATTCAAGCTGAGATGGTGTATCACGTGAAACATAGATTTATTACTCTGATAAACAAATTCAAAGCAGACAACTCAAGGTGGAAACTGAGACAAGCATCAGTAATTTAACTACTTAAGTTCAAAAGCATCTAAAAGAATATCCTAATAGTAATCCTTTATTCTGTCTGCTCTCATAGAAGAACTGATATTGGGACAAATGGGAAGCTTGGAAACTACATAGAAATAAGTCCAGTGTCAATTTAATTAAAAACATGAAGTTCATAGCTCCAAACTATCAATCCACTCGCTTTTGGAATTGCCAAAATCAGGAGGACAAGCAAAAGATGTATCTAATTCATCAATAATTCCACTCCCATAAAAAAGTTCAGAACTTTACTTATGAAACACCACACAGCTCACGTTTTGTTTAAACCAATCCACATAATTGAATAAGTAGGAATCAATAAGCACAAAGACAGCAAAAATTTTATATAAGCTTCTTAGCTCAAATGCCTAGAAGGTATTCCCTTGACACTCTTAATTGTCACAACAGCCGCAGTTTCCGGAAGCAGCAAACTTAAATTGAGATACAAAAAATGTCAAATTTCAATCGGTAGCCGCCTGAAGTCACCTATCTCAAGCAACTACTAGCTAAACCCTCATCAAAATATGCAATCGATCTAAAAACCAACCATAACAGCACAAACTCCAAAAGGGT